GTGCTGGAAGACGTCCTCAAGTCAAAGAGAAGAGGAAGACCAAAGAACATATTACGCCGAGAAATGGAGACAGACATGAGAAGAATGAACAAAAATTGGTTAGAACTAGAAAGGAAGGCTCATGACAGAGTGAGTTGGAGAATGCTGGTCGGCAGCCTATGCTCTAGTGGGTGTAACAGACGTAAGTAAGTAAGTAAGTATCCTTATTGTATGACTGTTAAGTAACTACATTATATGTATATTCCTTAATAAGCTTTCATTTGACCTATTGACTATTATCATACGATTTACTATTCTTGAGATAATCCCAATTAATTAGTAACAGTCCATCACAACAATAGCCACTTTTTGGCTTGATCTTGAACAGACGGTATTTTCTATTTTATGGCATGATGTGGTCTGATTTATTTGTATATAAACCCAGTATGTTTGAAATATATGATTTGTGTTGCGGAGACTGAGATTAGCGTTCTAAACTAAACAGGCAGGGCTGGGCGGAAAAAGGACCAATTGGAACTCTAGGCTTCTCGCACTAGTATATGGGTCATTAGTTGGGTCGTATAAGTCAGCGTATCTAAGTTGGCAATCATATTTCCTGATACTTGTATAGTTAAGGACATAACAGTTATGGTGTTACTGAATTCCAATGATTTCATTCAATATACTATATTACTTTTCTGTTTTCACTTGTAACTCTTCTACAGAGACAATTCACCAACTATTAAACCTGAAAAGAAAACATAAAATTTCCCATTATCTTGTTTTGTATTGAGAACGTGCAAGCTAACAAGGTCACTTCAGAAGGAGAATAATTCAACTCCCAAGATTGAGATCATATAAAGAAGACCGCATACTTGTATAGAGTTTAATAACTAATAAAGTTCGTTCTCTAAATGTTCTCTACAAACAAACTACTATTTATTAATTAAGTAAAAGTTTTTAAATACTTCGATATGTTCCAGTATCATTGGAGATATGTTATCGTTGAGGTATCAATCGATTGTATGAAACATGTTAAAATTAATGTTTCGCATTCATCTTCAACTTTAAACATATGAAGACATAATGAAAAGAACTCAGTCTTATATAAAATAAGATAAAAAAAAATCATTTGGTCAGTTATGATATTGACTATTTATTACTCTGTGATAAGTTAGTGTTCATTTATGTCATAAAAAGAGGGTCAGTAAGACCTCATTGAAAATACTTTCAAGATGTTAGATATCATGAGTTAGAACCTCACATCTTGTATCACATTCCTGCCAGCTCCCATGAAGCCATCAAACATTGAAACAGAGTAAAATATGACGTTGGCTCACTTAGACTGTAGCGAATGCTACTCACGAGATTCATTATAAGTAGTGTGCGACGGAACGGCGCGTGGAAGTTGGTACAGTTGACAGTCAAAGAGGAGAGTTCCACGGGATTAAAAAGCAAACAGAAGGACTGTGGAGAATACTTTGAAGACTAGAAAGAAGTGAGAGAAGTCAATCTAGAACCAACTTGAATTGCAGAGCATACAAGATGCAAATGGATGACTAAAGGGTAGGTGTGAATACTGTATGAATATTCTGTAGATTCTGCAACAGGTACCTGGGAAATCGACAATTATTAAAACCCAAACTCATTAGTATTCGAGAACTTAAAATTCTATATGCTGAGCAGGAACATCAAGCTTCGTGAAATAATATGAATTCATTTTATTTCACAGTTGTTGATTCTCTGTTTAAACTTATCATATAATCTTGTTGTATGAAAATCCCATGGATATAGAACGGTAATAATTACTGTAATGTCATAATGTTGAATGTATGTTAGTTTCTGGCCTGACTTATTTGTAATTAATCCAGTTTAACTTGTGTTAACCTAGACTTAAGCTCGAAGCCATATCAATTCCCTTAGACAACTTATATTGACATTTAAATTTAAGAATTTTTATGATCAGGATAAAATACTTTGATTATTGTAATCCTCTTTCTTCCAATTACTCAATATTATATTGTAATCAATGTGACATATACTTATTGCGCAACAAAGCTACTCGATGAGCATTACTCCGTTGTTGTAAATCATATATATATAACGAAGTTGAAATCTAATGTATGGTTCGGTAATAATATCAATGCATAGGTCAAATAGACAAAGATAATATAAACAAACGGAGACAGGCAAGCATGGATATGCAAAAATCTATTTAGATAGAACGTCAAGAATATTGTGTGCTTATTTACAATGCTACCAATATCATTGTAGTTACACATCGAAGGTTCATACAAGTGTTTGTATCGATTTTTTATTACAGTTCGTGATAGGGTTGTAAATTGTTATGTTCCAAGTATATGTGGGGTGCACTACATGATCATGAAGGTTTGGGTCATTGAAACAGAGAAAAGTTTTATGAAATTACAGTCATATCCACTTTTTTTAATTCATTGAATCTAAATTTGGTTTGGGCACGTTGTGCCAATTAGCACTGTCACACGTCCACGTGATTTGTTTTAACGTTCAAACACATTAGCTATTCTAATAAACCCAGTTATTCTGTCACACATATATTTGACCATGTCAAATACTTAAGTGTAATACTGTTTGTAAAACAGTACGTATGAGTTTGTTTACTTGCTGTCTCTCATTCTTAAAAAGATTGAATCACCTGTTGTTTGCTAAGTTGGCTGTTTACGCAACATCATCTCATGTATTTCTCCTTGTCTCTGATTACTTCCATGGTTTATCAAATGTCAGAAATACATGTTTCTCAATCACTTACGTATTCGACCTTTGAATCGACGTTATTGTTAACGTGATTTGTCGATAGGGTGTGCCTAGAATTTATGAACAAACCAATCAAAACTAAGATTGGAAGTCATGTATTGTGACACAGACTTCATTCATCCATTTGGTTGAATTGCATTTTGGCATTATGGTTGATGTCGGTTCATGATGGGAACCCTGACTCTAATACATAAACCTAACTTTGAATTCAAAATGCTAATTTTAATTCCTCAGATTAATTTACAGCCGTTTCTTAACCTTATTACATAGGTGAATACCCTCAAGGTCACTTTAACATCACTCAGGTTATCCATAAATTTTAGTGTTACCATTATTCCTAACATTTGCCAAAAATAATCTATAAAATTACTGTTATATATCTATGAATAAAAAACAAATGAGTACGTACTACTCATCTTAATTTCGTTGAAATGCAGAAGGTTCACAAAAGTAATTCAAGTTTACTTCATCAAGTGAATTGATTGAAATTAAACATTAACACTTGAATGCTAGCCCAGTAATCTAGAGTTTAACCATTCGCGTGAGACAAATGGTCTTGGATTCAAGTTTTGCGTATGGGATCGTAGATGTGCACTGTTGAGGAGTTCTATATTACGATGAAATGACCATTCAGTGCCTCCAGGTTTTCAATGGCTGTCTGAATTTGATTGATTCATGATCTCAATGAAATTCAACAATCTCCACAACAATATATTGAAAGTTTATAAAGTAAATTTATCAAATTTGCATTTAAAGAGAAAGCCTTATGGAATAGTTCGTTTTGCACAGTTTTACTGATATGAGTGTTTGTATCTCTTATAAGTGTTCAAAGAAATGCAATAGTTAATGAGCAAACATTTGTTTATCTAAATTATTTTAAAAACTCCAATCATATAAATTCCAGCAACACCTAAGTACAAAACAAAATTGTTCTCAAAGTCTGATGAAGGTATTATTAGATTATTTGATCCCGTCATATATTTTAACTCAATCTTTCAACCGGTTATGTTACTCTTCAAGTTTCTTTTATTTCATGCATTTATTCACTTTAATTAACCTTAAATCCCTGTATTGTTAATTAGCATGAATCAGTTAACTTTTATTGTACCAGCTTACATTAAACTTTATTAATATTTTAACAATTGAATTAATGAGTCGATCTAGGCTAGACTACCATTAAAAACCTGAAAGTACTGAACGTCCATTTCATTCTGAAGTGGGACCACTCAACAGTGCACATCCACGACTGTGCACACGGGACTCGAACTCAGTATCATCTGTCTCACGCACGAACAATTAACCTCTAAACCACTGAGCAGGCATCGAACGGCGTTAATGTTTAATTCCAATCGATCCATGATCTTGTACACATCTTCATCCATTGTATGAATTGGATGACTGCCTCACACCTGACACGGATTGGATTCCATTGATCATGGCCTACCGAGAATGCTCAACCACTAATCTACAAATCCCCATTTTTTATTTATTAATATTTGTCAATAGCTCAAACAATACTTCAAAATCTTCCACTATATCTATTTCTTTAATTGAAACATTATATTGAATCATTTATAACTTTACATTTAGAAGTTTACTAATCTTTACTATTTTATATCAATAGTGATGATATTGAAATTCCTAACACAGATTGATCATTTGTGTAACTGAATATTAACAATGAGAAAATATGAACTTTTTTTAAGAAAAAAATTAAAATATTATTATAATAGTTGAGATCTTGTGTCAACTGAGGCTAGATCACCATGAATGACCTGGAAGCACTGAATGGCCGTTTTGTCCTATTGTAATTTTGAGAACTGAATGAAATATTAATGATAAAAAAGAAAATATCATTATGTCATTCTATTTTATTTCTGATGTATGGGCGAGAATGATAATGATTGGTTGTCTGATTAGTCAGACATTTAGATAGTATGATAGGTGTCAGGTGAGTTATATATTCCCTTATCCTTATTATTATTACTCACTCACTCATTGTTGTTGGATTATGTCGAGTTTTTGGTGTGGAAATATATTTACGTTGTGGTCAGGCTCATCACGTGTTCTTGATCTGAGTTGTGTTGAAGTCCTGTAGAATAGACACTGGGAGGGAATCTAGTGTAGATATTCGTCTAAGGTAAATTAACATCCCATGCCTGTGTACATAGTAAAACCGAGCGTTATAACAATTTCATTAACTATTCTTCTAATTGATACAATCATTATGGTGTTAACAGTAGTGTATAGTTTATTGTTCATATTACAAGATTTACATGTAGATTTTTGTTTAAAATTTACAATGATCATTTTAAATTGGTTATGATTGTTAGAAAGTGAAGTAGGATTAATGAAGATAAGAAAATAGTAGTTGGGATATTATTATAGATAAAACTATTCAATTCGATATGATTTAATTCCTTGAAGAAAACTTTTAATTACCTCCAGATGAATCTACTTAATTGCGGACAATTTTTGTTTCTTCATGACTATTTTTGTGACCAACTACTTTTTCACTTGAGCTGTTATCTTGCCGTTCATTATTATTCGTTGCTAATCTCCATTTTTCATCTCTCTCTTTTTGTGTTTGTAAATCGATGTAAAGATGAGTACCATTCGCTTGATAATTACCAGTGTGTTTATATTTACGTTCTTCAATTAAATTACCTTTAGTATCAAATTGGTCATCAACGATCTTTTTGGAATATTTTTTCTTTTTTCCATAAGTTTTGAATTTTGATTTAATAGGTTTCGCTCGACCATATTTATCCAAATTCTCTTCAATTAGAAATTGTGAGGATTCTGACGAGATCATACCATAACCTCTAACTCCACGTGATCGAAATTTCCCTTTTGCATCGATACCTTTAGCTTTCATGCGTTTATATTTATATTTGAAACGTCCTGACCCAATAGCTGTCTCTAAACCATCCTCCATACTATTCCTTCTATTCCATCTGGATTCGTCCTCACTATTGTCACTCTCATCTAACGTACGTCTTTTACTTTCATCCTTTTTAAAATTTCTATTATCATCGTTCGAACCAACTTCTTCCCTAATCTGTGAGAAAACTGTTGTCACAAATATCAAAAATATCCAGATCATTAATTTCATATTTATTTCCATAAAATAGAAGCCACTTTAGTCAATAATTTATAAATGAACAAATTCTTGTTGAAATAAAATATCTCATTATAATATGATCACTTATAAATAATTTTCAAAGTGCACTCAGTGCACTGTAACAAATCTAATGACTGAAAAAAATGAAACAGCTGACTTGTTGATGCCATTTTATGTTAAATACGAAAGTGATTGTTTCAATTAGAACAAATTACACTTCTTTATAATTTCAATATTCATAATTTTACTGATTATATTTTTGATGGAGTTTTGTTCTTTGAGATGGATGCTTTGGTCGTAGAACTTTCATCGTTCTTCTGAACAACATTATTAGCACAAATTTCTACCTGATTATACTTAGAAGACAGGGACTCTTTAATTCCTACAATGTAAAGTGAGCCATAAAGTAAGCTGGTGAAAATGAAGATTTATTAACTCGATAAAACATATCATCAAAATAAATTATCCGAAACCACATAAGCATTAAACCTAATACATTTTATCTTTATACTGATTTTGTACACACTTGATCATTAGTTAAGAGCGTTATACAAATAAAAAGATACAAACAGTTACTGTAATTGAGAATAATACAAAGAACATGACTATTATATTAAAAGAAATTTCACAGGTGACATATTGATCGAAATCCACACTTAATTGATTTAAATGTAGTGAATGAGGACTTGGTGGAGATAACCAATTTACTGTTTGGTACAAAATTACAGAGTGCCTTCATAAGATATGAAAACCAAATAATTTATTTACACATCTCCCATCAGTCGTCTTTTACATGTTTCATGATTCATCCAATTTTGTTGCCATTACAATGGCTCACTATTTGCCTTCCTGTTCTATTCAATTCCTTCGTCTACTGGCAGGCATTTTATTTCTGATTGGTGCTAGATGCTACCTATTCCTGTCAAAATAAGTAGCATACACAATACAAAGAGCATTGACCTGAAATAATGTTACATTGGTAAATCTGTAACCAGTATCCTACTGATCTTGGTGTGGAAATACCATTAGGACAAAATGAATGAGATTCCGAAATCTTATGATAGTATGTGTTATTGGAGGCATTTGATTCAAAATCATTGTGAGAACATGTTACATCGGAAGCGTTCGATTCAGAAATATTATAAGAAATTCGGACAGATTCAGAGGAAGGTTTATGAGAATATAATAAACTATTTACGGCATCAACCTTCTTGATTCAGTCTAAGCTTAATTGATCAAAATCATGCTGATTCGTCAGATAACAAGCATCATCAAATTTATGTTCTTTGAACTGCACCTTGTTGCACCTGTTAGCCTCACTACATCTCCTGAGGTATTTCAGGCAACATGTTCGGTTGGCTGAATGTGTAGACATCCTAGCTTACGCCACGTGCTTTTGCAAATCAATGTGATGTCGGAAGTCGTATCTAACTGAAGACGAATAGGTTTTACATTCATTAATAAGTTTACATACTTCCGTTTAATTTGAAAGTCGCAAACATGCTCTTGATTTGACTCTGGTAATGTTGCTTCACCTTTTCCCCATGACGTTTTGACGAGAGTTTATGTGATGGTGTGATGTTTGAATGAACTAATGATTCCTTTGTACTTGTTGAATGCTTGATTTCGAATTCTAAATACAGTACATTCGTTTGCGCTTATCTAGTACTTCTTGATCGGATTACGTTATTTCTGGGATTCTTAGTTTATAATATAATTCAAATACTCCTAATCATCATAGATGGGCAGTGACTTTCTTTATGACCAATACGATGACAATGATGGCACTTGTGCTTCTTGACAAAAATAATTTCACAAACTTTTATGCTACACAAAACCAACATGGTAATGGTGGTTCATCAACAAACTGTTGTGCGTTTCTGAGCTTCGTTTGGGAGATTTAGAGGATTTAACTGTATTTACTGACCCGAAATCGGAAGGTTTCGCCTTCTCTTGCACCACCGCGGTATCATGTTTGAGATTTAACAGAGGTTGACACTCGGTTGTGACCATTTGCAAAGTCATACTAGGTTCCTGCTCAATGCGCGTTAAAATCCTAATGCGGATTTCCACATCTTCTAGATTCTTTAATCCATAGATAAAAATCAAATATTTAAATTGATCTGCTGTAATTTCATTTATTTTAAATCGTTCACCTTCTCAATTTACTTTTCCAGCATAGGTTAGATACTTATCAGATGGAGGTTTTGATATTTGAAAACACTGATAGCGAATGTTTAGTAGTGAGGACTGTTCACGAAACGTTTTGGATAATATTTAGACTGTATTATTAAAAGATAAACCCCTATGATTTTGTGTTAGGGTGAAATCAACATATTTACTAAATTCATGTGTTTCAAGTCTTCTCAGAAGTAAGCGAGCTTTAGCTGCACCATCTAGATTTGAACATTCGATGCGGAATATGTCTTTAAAACGATGAAACCAGGAATCGAATTTGTTACCAGATTCAGGATGATAGATGAATCCACGAATGGAATGTGCGATGATTTCAGATTTATCTGATTGAGAGATTGAAGTTGAATAGAATGAGAGCTTGTGCGTTAGTGCATCCAAAAGCTTCATTTCATTTGGATCACTCTGCGTTTGTTGAATTTGTGGAATAGTTTTAAGGTTGTCCAAAGATATAGACATTTTGTTTTGGATCAATCGAAATAAAAAATCTCCGTCTCCACTTTTGTTACGTCCTTGATCTGTCTATCCAGTAATATATAGAAGACAATTTGTATCGATCAAGACTAAGTCCTTGAACGATAGGCTAACTGGCCTAACCTTGAGGCTAGCATGCTTGAAATCTCATTGCGACTAACTACCCTGAGGTAAAGAAATGAAAACTATTCTTTCACCTGATTGATTGGCAAGCGGGTGAGCGAGAGCGAAGACGAGTCAATTAGAACACTACTCGATTTATTCCATTACCGATTCTGATCCAGATTAGTGTAAAAAGACACATGAGTAAAAAAAATGACTAACATGACAACTCGCAAACGATAAAAAAATACAACTATGTCTGGAACTGAACACCAGGGTAGAAAATACAGCTTATGGTTTGTAGAATAAACTAGAAACAAAACCAAATGTTAGTGTTTTACAAACTTCGAATTCAGTGAAACAACGTCCCCAAAAAGGTTTCTGTTGTTCGCCATGGCTTCCATTTTAGCCGATCAATGAAATGACCATTTTCTGATCCATAAAAGTAGTGTATTCGGTTCTATTTCATAATACGAGACAGTCATCGGAATTCAAATTATTTTTCTATAACATGTGTAGCAGTAAATAAATCCCCAAAATAAATAGTTCTGTAATTCTTCGACATTTGATGCCGACCTCATTGGTTTAACTGGGCACATCTGGCTGAAGACGCTCGGTCACTCATCCACACCAGATCATGAGTGGGTGAGTTATGCTACACATCCCTTGCAACTGTTAAACATCTTAGACAAAACTCTTCTCGACCTGTAGGTAGCCTTCAAATACAACTTCGGACTCATTCATTTCTGACTTCTGATTTGACTGGTTTGGTATACTTCGATTATAAATGTGTTACGTGTAAAGGCGTTGTCAAATTCCGAGTATCTGTGGTATCTTTACATATGTGCACAAGGAAGGGTCACACTTGCCTACTAAAAACTTACCAAGCGACACGGGGGTTTGTTCCGAGGTAATTTCTTTATCCATGGGTAGTGGTTGTGAATCCGATATATTTGTCCGGCTAATGGAAGGCTTTTATGCAGGATCAAGATTTTCGGTTAATAGTACTCGCTAGTCGTTGCGTATAACTTATGAGAAAGACCCTAGCTTTCGCTATCTGACATCCGGGGAGAAGAATGAGATTCGTCCACTTTCGATGTCTGGAGCTGCAACTTTTGTTGTGATCAATTTTGTGCATGCAAATTACTCGAAGAAAATAATTGCCAAAGATGTTTTTGATATGCGACGACGTTTGTTTGAACGATCGAAACTTCCAAGTAAGTCTAACCTTGATTATTATCTCCAGCAAGTAGTTGATTTTGAGACGTTAGCTGCATATATTACTGAACATGAAGGTGCACCTGAGGTGCATCGTAAAGTGAACGGTTGTCTGGAATGCTATTTTTTTCCATAGTAGATCATCGACTTTCCAACGTCTTAGGTATTAATATTACATACAAATGCAACAAGGAGGAAACCTATCTGTAGGAGATAGTGGCATTAAATGCTTCCATGAAAGTAATGCCAGTAGCATTTTGATTTTTAGCCAGAGAAACTTCCGAGTTGGTTAGTATTTTCTTATTCTTCTTCCAAGACTTTTGACAGGGATATCTGTGGGGTCTTCCATTAGTGACGACAGTTCTGCCATAAATAATACGCTATCTATCAACTTTCCGGAAGTGCATCATATATTATGTCGAATACATACCATGTGTAATGTTCTTTGGCGGGGACGTTTGACGCATTAGACTAATAACTTATTCATAGAATATCTCGTCTGAAACATTTCAAATTTTCCTCTGTCTGATGTATAAGAAAAACGCTGAACGGCAAGTGTATAATTACTCCAATACATAAATTTGTGTCCATTCAACTCTTACTTAAATGACATGCAAGAAGATAGTTAGACGTTTTCCATCTACTTATAAAATGGCCTTGTTCACAAAAAAGAAAGTGGAACAAAGTGTTAATACCACTAGGAATGATGATAATGCAGGATAACATGAGCTTAGTGGAATCAACGCACAAGATAATGGAAATGTATAACTTCAGTCGTGAATGTCCGGTGTTGCGTTGTGCGTCCCACCTATTTTTAAGAAGTGGCTACTGGCCTCATGCTAAGTCTCATGAAATAAGGAACGGAGTGTCCAGAAAAGTCGTGTTCTACAGCATTCAAGAATTATTGGAAATAAGAAGCCATATCAATCCGAACTTCATCAAATAATAAGGTAATGAAATAAAATCTCTATAACTACTAAGAGGTAAACGATTACTCCACGTTGTGTACTAAAATCAAGGTTTAATAGGATCACAATAATTGTATCTAAAGCTTTTGCCGGTTTGATATTAAAGT